CCCTCTTTGTCCCCGCATCCGCAGCAGCTGAGCCGCGAGGAGAAGCGCCGCCGCCGGCGCGCCACGGCCAAGTACCGCTCGGCTCACGCCACCCGCGAGCGCATCCGCGTGGAGGCCTTCAACCTGGCCTTTGCCGAGCTCCGCAAACTGCTGCCCACGCTGCCCCCGGACAAGAAGCTCTCCAAGATCGAGATCCTGCGCCTGGCCATCTGCTACATCTCCTATCTCAACCACGTCCTGGACGTGTAGGGCCGGGGGCGCCGCGGGAGGCCGCCTGTCCTGGCGTCGGAGGAACGCGACAGTCCCAGGCGGCCGCGGACGGCGTGGCGTTGGCGGCCTGTGGCCCAGCAGAACCACTGCCGCGAGAGACAAGGACGGGGGAAGAAGCTCGCAACCTGTTCTCTCTGGTCAGCCGGGCAACGAGGGAAGGTGTCCGACGCGGGGAGGTGGGGTTGCCTGGCGAACCCTGTAGCCAGGGCTCCAAGGAGAGATTTTCCAAGCCGGGAGAACTTCCTGGAGGCACCCCACAATGAGTTGCCTCCAGGCCTCTCCTGGGCATGTTAGGATCCCTTTGAGGGTTGTTGCTTTAACCCACTGGAGACTTTGAGTTCTCCTACATTTTTCTCCCACAAGTCCTGTTTTGAAAGAACGAGGGCAGAAGCTCAGAGTTACAGGCTCCTAACTTTAGACTACCCGGAATTTTTCGAATTGACAAATCACCAAACATTGGGGAGGAGGGAGGAGGGAATCTCTTCCATATAGAGATCTAAGGCACAGAAAAGTGGAATAGGAAACTTTCTGTTCCGTTGTGAAAGGGAAGATTATACTAGAATCCAAATTAAAAAAAAAAAAAGAATATTTGGTAAGGTTGAAAAGACAAATAGAAACGCTGGGAGGGTTTCAACTTGATGAGATTGTAACCCCAAGATGTGACACTCATGTAGACAGGAAAGTCCATATTTCCATGGAAAATTTAATCTCTGATTGCTTTTCAGGCGAAGTGCCCCTTTATATATCCAAAAACATCTATTTGTGACCTTAAATTTGTGGACCTATCAGTGCAGTTAGAAAAAAAAAAAGACAACCTATTTTTATTTATGTTAGAAGGAGTAGAGTATTTTTTTCAAGACATTTATTTTTCAGAGTGGTGATAATTTTACTTTGGATACTCTGTGCCAATTTATTTATAGTCAAGTGTTTACACTTTTTCCTGTGGAATAATTACGTCTAAGTTTTTACGTGTTTGTTGAGATTATACTGTGGTCTTTTTTTTTTCACTCTAATTATATTGCACTTGTATAACAAATTTCCCACTTCTCCCCGTTTCTAAACATATTTTATATATTCAGATGTACGTTCTTGAAGGTTTTTTGTTGTTGTGAGGTCAACAACACTAGCACTTCACTATTATAGTTTTTTTTAAAGTGTGTTATTCTTATACGTAGTTATGTCTGAAAAGTACTTTACAAGCTGTTTATAAGGAGAGTAGCTTCTTTCTGTGTGTATGTGTGTGTGTGTGTGATATTTGTGCGTGGGATGATTTTAGGAAATTAAGTTATTTTCCTAAAAAAAAAAAAAAAAGAGAGAGAATTCAGAACTACTTTCCTCTGTGACGACCAAAAAGAAAAGTGTATAACCTGAAGATGTCTCATGTTCTCAGCTGTGAAACTCTTAAAACAAGGAGTGTATTTTAGAGACAAGGAAAAAAAAAACACATCTGCTATCCAAAGATTTTAGTCTTTTTCAGGGTTTTTTTGTGTCTCTGTTGCTTTATATAATGCAATATTTTGTAGTGAAAATAGATATAATCTGGTTTCTATCTGACAAGTTTTTCATATCTCATGAATGGTGCGCTGTTTTGCATATAAATAAAGGTATCAAATAAAGTCTTTCCTTTATTTTAAGCATATTGTCTAAAAACAATGAACATGTAGGCCGAGCATGAACTATAATGGATTCAGTTCTTTAGAATGGAACTAGGCAGCAAAAAAAAAAAAAAAACCCTTAATGCAAACATGTTTGTCTATGGGGATGTTTGACTTTCTTTCTAAACTTGGATAGGATCAGTCTGTCTATAAATAGATATCCCACACAGGGACGAGGACATAGATCATGGGACTCTCAGTGAGGAAATATAGTTTATATATAAAATATGACTTGAATAGAGTCTTCTAGTCTAAAAGAAAACTTACCATCTCTCTAACCCGACCTCTTTAAATTGAAGTTAGACAACTGAGACCCAAGAAATGACCTATGCTGAGCTCATGGCTATTTAATGGCAGTGAGAAGATCCCCGGATGTGACAACTGTGAGTTCCCGTGGCACTTACTGAAACGCGGTGTATTTTACTGTTGTAATACCCAAACATCTAACCAGTGCGTACATTCGTGACATGACACCTGTAAACAAGAAAAACAATTATGTCCTGGACCAACTTTGAGATAGGACGAATGCAACCTGTCAAAGCCTATAGCTATTAAAAAAAAAAGAAAAAAGATTCTTTTTTAAAATAATTATTTTATTTAACTTTATTTACTTATTTATTTTTTAAAAAGTTGACCAGAGAGGGACAGAGCAAGTGAACGAGAGAGAGAGAGAGAGAGAGAGAGAGAGAGAGAAAGTGAGAAAGCAAGCTACCAGGACCAGGACTTGGCAGTTAGCCCTCTGGGAGTCCAGCACCCTTAACCACAATGCCACCTGCTGGCCCCCCAAATGAAATATTCTGTCTATAGGTTAAAGACATGACTAACTTTAAAACTCTATGTACACACATACATATAGAATAATATAAACTCTGAGTCTATATTATACTATGCCTCTGTTTTGAAGTAAATGCAATTATGTGGATGCTTGATTTTATGTACATAAACTGAGGGATTGCAAATAGTTTTTGCTTTCCACCCAGATATCAGGTCCACAGATATCTAATAAACAGAACTTCATTCTCTTCTGTTAGTGGAGGGGCTTAGTAGGAAAGCACCCCCAAGGGCATGTAGTTGAGCAGTGTCCTGGTCACTAAGCAGGTTAGGGTTACTCTGCTCTGTAAAGAAACGTGAGTGTCTAGAGGTCTTCTCACCTCCAGTGAGGAGCAATGAATGCTCCCAGTCTCCACAGCGCTTTATTAGATTACAGAAAAATCAACCCTGCTCCTATGCCAAGGATAGGAGGTCAGCTCGGAACCTCCAGAAACCTGTGGGCTTCCCTACCTGGTTTATGAGCCCAACTACCACAGGCACAGCCCTCCCAATCTCATTTAGGAGGGACGTAGGACTCACCTCCCCAGATAGAAGGCCTTTGCCCTTGCAGTTGGACAAAGGGTAGCATCCCTTCCAAGCAACATAGCCCATGTGGTCCCAGGAGAGGACTGTCACAATGTCATTTCATTTCCAAAGCTGCCGAGCCCCTTCCAAAGAGAAGCACAGCACTGGGGCTCTCCGCTAGTCCACAGTGGGCTTGCCCTAACCCTTGGACAGAGCAGGGACTCAGAGACTGCTCAGCCTTAGGAGAGACAGTAATGTTCTCTGAACAGTGATGAGGGGAATGAGTCACTGTGACATTTAGCAGTTATTTACTGAAGACCTGCTGTGTGCCAGGCACTGTTCTAGACACTAAACTAGAGCAACAAATGAGACAAGGTCTCCAGAAGAAACGCAGGTAGTGGCAGCAAGGAAACGCATACTACTAATTGTGGATGAAGCTTAATGCTATGAAGGAAAATAAAGCAGGGTTGGGGAATGGAGAACAGTGGCTAGGATTGCCCAGGGTGGGGAGTATTTTAGATAGGGCCCTTGGGGAAGGCCTTTCTGAGGAAGTAACCTCTGAATAGAGGCGTAGGCCTACCTAGCTAGCTTCCCCAATTGCGGCCACTTACATGCACCGTCCTTTCTTCTTGCAGCCTGTTAACATGTCCTGAGTGCTCACGCCACCGTAAGAGCCCAGGCCGATCACTGTCCTTCCCCCAGTTGGCCCCAGCCTTAGCCATCGTCCTGGCATGGTTCTTTCTCCAGACAGAACCGTAACCAAGATTCCTCCTTTTCTCCTTTCACCTTCCTGTCTCTGCCCCAAACTGCTCAAGAACTGGCCAGGGCATTGCCACTCTCCCGAACGCTTAGCCCCACCTGGGCCAGCAGGCCAGGCCACCTGTGTTGGACATTTCTCTGCCCAGATGGCCTTCTCTTCACTTCCGCCATTACCCGGAGACTTCTAGAGAAAAAGGAGCAAAAGCCCTAGGCAAAAAAAATCATTCCCTTCCAGGGAGAAGGCAAAGGGAGGGTGTGGATGGTGGGGTGTGATAGGAAAAGAGGTGCAGAGTGAGGCGCTGAGGGGCAAGGCAGGAAGTGGGGGTTCAGGGGAGGGAACACCTGCCTTCCATGTGGACCATGTGTGGGGACTCCCTCCAGTGGCCCTGCACCATGATCGATTGTCACCAGACTGCAATGAGGAGGTAAGTAGACACAGTCACCTCTGTGGTGCCAGGACTTCACTTCCTGTCACTGTTATCTGTCACTGAAAGTCAGACTTCTCCCCACTGAGGTTTGGGGTAGAGCCAGCTGGAGAGCATGCACAATCAATTCCCTTTTCCAGGCTCTGAGGGACTCTCTCATTTATTTCACTTGGTGGTAGAAATATTAATAGCTAGCAGGTCCGGAGCATGTACTATATGCTCACTGAGTTAAGAGCTTTGTGTGCATTATCTTATGTAACTCTCACAACAACCCAAAGAGGTAGGTATTTTTATAGTCTCCATTTAACAGAGGAGGATATTGAGGCCTAAAGAAATTAACTTGCCCTGGGTCATGAAACCGTATTTATCAGTTTATCAAAGCACCTGCCCCGACCCATCATGCTCTACGTTGTCCATGCCGTGCACACAGCCTACCCATGGCCCCTACACTGACTCTCTCCAACCATGCTCTTAGAGGAAGTGTCAGCTCAGGAAATGCCGAAGGAGTTCAGGGTCTGCAGTGCACGAGGCTGCCCAGCCAAGGGATGTGTGAGGCCAACACTGAGCCTGTGCTGTTCACCAGGTCAAGCGTGTGTCCTGGCTTGGGGCTGAGTTGGACAAAGGGGAGTCTTTTTCTACTTTAGAAGAAAGCTCTGTAAGTCTATAGCAGCCCTGGGCTAGCGCCTGCTGAAAAGGCAGATTGGACAATCTGCCCCATCCCGGCACTGTTAAGGCCCACCACATGGCAGGTCCCTTTCCTTTGTCTCCCCACCCACGAGCCTCAGCACAAGTCCCTGTTCTCACACTGCCTCTTAAGACAACGATGTCCCTCCTGTGTGAAAACTCCTCATTGCCTATAAAACATAAAATAAAATTAAGGTTCTTGATCTTAATAGAAATCTCACTGCCTTGTTCTAGACCCATTCTAGCAATGTCTTCAGTCATTCTCCTGGAGGTTAAATATTCCTGCCAAATCCAGATTTCCTTACTTCCCTTGAAGGTCTTCTCTGCCCAGGTCTTCTCTGTCCTAAGCCTTTGGACCTTCTCTCTGCTTACAGCGCTCTCCTCAACCATATTTTTTTACCCAGAAAATTCCAATTATGTTATTATGATGCAACTCAAGTGTAACCACTTAGCAAAACTTTCTTCAATTTCTTTGATCTGTCCTTGGCTCTGTTCTCTGATTCCCACATACGTAAGAGGGATCTTCAAAAAGCTCAAAATGTTTGTGAGAAGTCTGTGCAATGAAAAACTATGCATGGGTTTCTATTATTTTCACAGCAAAGCCAACTTTAACTCTGTCTCTCCACACAGCTTCGAAGTGTTCTTCGATATCATCATACAGAATTCATGTTTCTCCCATCCCTGTGCTTGAGATCCTAAACTCAGGAGCCAGGTTCAGATCCTGGCACCAGCTTATTCTCACTGTGTGATGTCGAACATGCTATCGATCTCCATAAGCTTTCATTTTCCGATGTGTAGGATGAAACAATATCGATGCTCACGCTGAGATGTGTATGTATATCACACTAAGAGGTTTCCATGTGGTAATGGACAGCACTCAGCAGAGCAGGAAGAATGTACAGTAAGTACTCAATAGCAGCGAGCTGTT